AAATTAGCAAGTAGCAAAACTCACCATTGTTACCGGCCTTTCTTGAACCAGGCCTAAAAGAAGGAGATGATGGAGAAGGAGGCAGCGGGGAAGGTGAAGAGGGAGACAATGTCAGGCCATTAGAGGAGGGAAAAAGAGTTAAAAAAAGATGAATTTGAGAAAGCGATCGCATTGCCAGTGGTCACATTTCCAGGTCTTTACTTTTTTCTTTTTTGCTTCTTGGAAAATGTTGACTTGGGTAAGGAAAGATTTAAGAAAGACTCGCAAAAGGCAAGGATTCTTTGTCGTTTTGCCAATACTAGTGTGTCAGCGTCCGCCGTGACGCTTGTTATGTATTTGACATATAGCAATACTGTCCTCACCCAGAATCTTGGGTTTCTTGAATTCTTTTCCATGTTTCTCTTAAGTTTTACTACTTAAAGGCCTTTCAACTACGACGGCACTCTTTTGATTCCAGTTACACACGTACCAATCTCGGTTACTGTCGTTCTTGTTATGTTTGGTTGCAGGAAGATGAAAGACCATTCTGAGCTTTTAAATTTCATGTTGCTTTGAAGTGCAACAAGTTTAATGTCTCCATTCCACTTAGACGTACATGATTAGTATGCTTTTTGTTGTCCGAGTGGGGATGATTGTTGAAACTTGAATCTTTAATCCCATTTTCATTTTATGAGTTACAGAGTTGGTTCTGAAACATCATAAATTGAAATGGTTTTTCTGTTCCTTTATGCCTAGAAGTTGTCTTAGTTGCAAATTAACCTTTTTGGTTCTCCTACATATGAATCTTGCTTTCTGTATGCTTCCTGTTGTGATGTCTACAATTATCATTTGCTACAAATTTTTGAATGATTGAAGCATGACTGCGGTTTGTTCTCAATGCAGATTGTGCAGTGTTTTAGTAAGTAATTAACTTGGCATTTAAAACTTCCTTATTACATTTCTATCATGAGAAGGAGAAGCTGAGTTGAGTGAATGTCTAATCAGTTTTGTGCCTTTCAGGGCCTGGCCTGTGATGGCGATTGAACCCTTGGTTTAGTATTGTCAGCCAGTGGCACATGCCGCTTGGGCAAAAGAGGTTGATGGTGCTTCAGGAACATACACACCTTGAGCTATTGACACCGTGGTGACTTCCATTTCTCACTTCGTTCTTTTGGGCCTGTGCTGTTATCAGATGTGGATGATGGAGAAGAATTCCAAAGTCCAGAGGTTTTGTTTGAGGTCAAAATGCTATATTTATATGCTTGGTATTCCACCTTGTTGGCATGCACAACTAAAGATTCTCTGGTGATTATTATCTTTCATATAGTACATCTTTGCCTGCTATTGCAGAGTACATCTCGTGAAGTTAAACGCTTGGATTACCAGATCGCAGTTTATGCACAATTTGGAGAAGCATTAAATGGTTTGTCACCCATTGGTGCATACAGAGCTTATGATTGGGTGGCCAATGCTAATGGGAAGTCCATGGATAATAATATCAGATTCACCCTTGCAAATACTAGTTCAAATCTTTGGCTCGCAATAAGGTTAGAAACATTAGGAGGCCTCATGATTTGGTTGACAGCAACTTTGCAGTTTTGCAGAGCGGAAGAGCAGGAGACCAGGCAGCATTTGCATCAACAATGGTCTACTTCTCAGTTATACTTTGAATATCACAGTACTATTGAGTGGTGTTTTAAGACAAGCAAGCCGTGACAGACAACAGCTTAAATGCTGTGAAACGTGTGAGAACATATATCAATTTGCCTTCAGAGGCTTCAGATAAAATAGAGAGCCACCGTCCTGCCCCTGGTTGGCCTTCATCTGGGTCAATTCAATTTGAGGATGTTGCCTTACGTTATAGGCCTGAACTTCTGCTTCTCTACTTCTCCAAGTGAGAAGCTAGGCATAGGTGGAAGAACTGGTGCGGGTAAATCCAGCATGCTGACTGCATTATTTCTGATTGTAGAACTGGAAAAAGGAAGGATCGCGATTGATGGGTGTGATCTTGCTAGATTTGGACTGACAGATTTGCGAAAGGTTCTTAGTATTATACCACAATAACCTCTTCTTTTTCCAGGTACCCAATTTTGCTTTTGAGTATACTTGGTCAAGTGTTCGGTTTACTATTTTAGTATACGTGGTCAATCCTATAATTGCTGTTCATCAGGCTTGCATGGAATCATTTTCCCACAAATTTGGATCAATGCATTGTCACTTTTCTGTGTTGAAAGCATTAGAAATTGTTACTAAATGTGGAAGAAGAAAACCAATAAGCCTTTCGTTTATGTAAATAAAAAGATGTGATAAACATCAATAATAACACATTAGCAGTAGGCTTGATTGATGTAATTTTCTTTCTGTAGTGAGCAGGACTCTTTTACAGTTAATCGAGGGATTGAACTGGATGAATCCTAGATAATATCAATAATTGAGAATTTGGAAACAAAAGATGGTCAACTCTTGGAAGCGAGGGTTTCTCTTTGTGACTGCGAGGCATAAAATGCAATGTAACAATCAACCAAGTATTAGATGTCTGTTGTCTCCAGTCCTTGTGACCTTGACAATCTATCTTTTTGATTATCTGTTAGAATATCTTTTAACATTAAAGTGTCTCAATTTTATGGTCATTTTATTTATCCAGGAGCTGTGCGATTAAACCTTGATCCATTCAATGAGCACAACGATGCTGACCTTTGGGAGACTTTAGAAAGTGCACATCTGAAAGATGTCATCAGAAGGAATTCTTTTGGTCTGGATGCTGAGGTATTGGACAATAACTATATTGCATAACTGTACTTGCTCCATGCTGTCATGTTACTTGAGATAAATCTGCTTGCAATGGCTTGCAAAGGCACTGGGTTGATCGGCTACCCTATTCAGTGACGCTGCCAATAATCTGTTGATATGTGTCTCTCTCCTTCCGACTGGTTAAACGAGTTGAATATCTATTCTGGAAATCAGCATAGTGTTTAGTTTTTATGTTGAAAGTAAAAGATTTGCAGAGTTTTGTGGTCAAACTAATCTGAATGAACTTAAATTTTTGCATAAGCTTCAACTAGGTTCTGCAATAGATATTACATTGGCATGCATAAGATTGAAGGTATTGCAGATGGAAGTTCAAGTTAAATCAAGAATTTCTGTAAACAGTCCCTTGAACCACATGTTTGAAGCATTGATGAAATAATTCTGCCTCATCTGTGTCAAGGTTTTGGAGGGTGGGGAGAATTTCAGTGTTGGGCAGAGACAATTATTGCGTCTTGCTCGAGCATTGCTGCGAAGGTCAAAGATTCTGGTTCTTGATGAAGCAACTGCAGCAGTTGATGTTAAGACTGATGCTTTGATACAGAAAACCATTAGTGAAGAATTCAAGTCGTGCACAATGGTCATTGTTGCTCATAGACTGAATACCATCATTGACTGTGATCGGATTCTTGTGCTTGATGCTGGTCAGGTGTGCTTTCTCGTTTGTTGTTATTTTTGGATATTTGTGGTTTCTTTTCCTTTCTGCAGATTTTTCATCCCATTTAATAGACGACCTGTAGCTATATGACATCCATAAGGGATGATTGACTCCATTCCAGGAATGACTTGGCAAATATGCTTGTTTAACTCTTCTTTCGACTGGGAAAATGGAGAGAAGATACTTGTTATTCGTGAATAGATAACTTCTGATGTTGCTCTTTCAGGTTCTAGAACATAATACTCCAGAGGAACTGCTAACTAATGAAGAAAGCACATTCTCTAAAATGGTTCAAAGTACAGGACCTGCAAATGCTGAACACTTACGTAGCATAGGTTTTGGAGGTGAGCGAATAGGTTGAGTAAAGAACATGCCATGCGGTTAGATGGTCGGATGAGATGGCAAGCTTCATCCCGTTGGGCTGCTGCAGCACAGCTTGCTGTAGCTGTTAGCCTTACTTCTTCACAGAATGACCTTCAAAGGTTTGATATTTGAGACGCGAGCAATATCCTCAAGAAAACTGAAAATGTAACCCTGCAGGATGTTTTGGAGGGAAAGCATGATGAAGTTATAGATAACTTGCTTGAGCAACACCAAGTTCTCAGAGATAGATGGTGGTCAGCTCTTTACAGAATAATTGATGGTACACATATAATATCTTTCCGTACACAAACTCCCCTCAAGGAATCCGCACATAATGCGCAGCAACACAAGCATGTGTACCATGCTAGTCCATACCTTCTTAATGAGGTCCTTGTCAGTGATGATGATTAATTTACTTGAATATCAGATGACCATAGGGAATAAAAAGGCACATAACATTCAGAACATAAAGCAGCAAACAGGACTTTTAGCATTACAGAATTCTATAATGGTAGTCAAAACCCCTGAAAACTGATAGAAACCAAACCTCCGCCCTGAGTGATGGCTTACAGAGATCCCCTCCTCCCTCAGTTTAGTGTCAGTCAGGAGAGCTAAGAGATGATCAAAAGGGTGTTCCTTGAGATTTAAAAGTTTTGTTCACTGTTGCCCCAACTAAATATTGTATGTCAAAAGGGAACAGTATGACACATCTACTGTATTCCGAGGAAGAATGGCTCCCTCAACTACAAAAATGTGAAACAACGAGCTAGGTCACCCAAGGAATTTGGCTGCTTCGTCATAATGCATAGAACACTTTAAGATCAATACTGGCGCAGACAATAGCAATCATAGCATAGATATTTGTCTCTCATCTATAATCAATCCCAATGCATTTAACGCTGAAGATCTACAGATTCTTTTGATCTATGCTTCATGATCAATGGTTGACCCTGTGTTTCAGGTCTCGCTGCAATGAGCAGGCTAGCTCAACATAACAGGCTTCAACAATTAGAGTTCTACTTTGAAAGCAGGTCCCTGGATTGGGATGATTTATAAGCAGATAATGGAATTTTGATGGCCTGATGATGTAGAAAACAACATTCGATCAGAATTTTCCATATCATATTTGCAGTGTGCTCCCATGTGATATTTTCTCTGTAGCATACCATTTTTTTTAATCATTGACATTATACCAGCTCTTATAATCAAACTTCATTAATCCAAAGTAGTTATTATTCTCTAACACCGCAAAGACCTTGTATTCTCGCTCTCTCCCTCAGTTCAGCTCACATATGAAGTATTGACTAATTCGGGCACAAAACTATTCATACAATCCACAAATCAGTTTGACGAGTTCTCTGACGCATTACTAGGAATTTCTGGCCGAGGTAGGCCATGCATGGCCTCAAAGGCCTGCGCAGAAGCTTTTGAGAATCCCATCAATGCCTGAAATACATTGGGAAGGCTAGTTTTTAGATTGTTTAAAGTCATGGTCTTGCAAACATGGACTGAGTTGAGATGTTTGCCCTTCTCAATGTCAACCCGCTTCTTTAAGGCCTCAGTTTTGGCTCGCTTCAACAATAAAGGATGCTTAGGGCTTAGGGTAGAGTTTACATCTGAAGTGGCTACGCTACCCTCAACCTTTTTCTCCATCTCAGTCAGCGACATTAACTCCTTCTCCAACCTTCTCTCAAGCTTAACCAATTTCTTTTGCTGGTTGTGTTCCTCAACCTGCTGTCGGATTATGGATTGGATGGCCAACAAAAAGCTCTTAATGGCCTCTGAAGCCACCTGCAAGCACAACAGATTAGTAAGAGATAGCTCCAAATAATACCACCAGATGAGATACTTCAACTAAAGGGCTGATTATGTGATATGTCCCTTATATTAATATAATGATCATGGCCAAGTGTACCTTATCAGGTAATTTGTCAAAACCACGCTGCCATTCTTCACAGAGCCTACGAACCGTAGTTGAGCAATGATTCTGCTGATGGTCATCCACAAGGCAATCAGTGAGTTGGATCCACCTGCAGAGTGTTCTTACATATTCTTGCTGAGATTTTACAAGCTCACAGAAGCTGTGATACCAGAAAGAAACCTCAGTTTCAAGCTGAGCTGTAGCCTGACGGTGGGATTCAGTAGTCAGGTCCACACTTAAATTATCAGTGAGATAATTCAACTGCTGTGAAATATGGTTCTGAACTTGATGAGATTTGTACATCTTTCCCCACATCTCCATCAGCCTGTACTTGGAAGATTAGACAATTGGAACAAAAAACCAGGATTCAAATTTATACAGTACATAACATAAACCATCATTCAATCTTCACCTCAAAAACTACCGAAGGCTTGTGCAGAATTTCACTTGGAAACTGAAATAGTATGGGGACGATATTAAGTTGGAATTTTAGTTAAGCAGGCTTCAATCAAACTACTTTTGGTTTTTTTTTCTTGAATTGTGGATTCATAACTTTCATTAAAAGTTCCTTCAAAAATAAGGGTCAAGAAAGAAATCGAATCATTTTACATTATCTTGGATAGTGAGGAACCTTGTTGCATTAGAACTGTGAGGCTTTTGGAGAATCCAAAAAATTATTTCTTATTCTCCATTTAGAGTATCACCAAACCCATTTTAAATTTAAAAATGAAAGTGGAAATATATGACCAAATCTTACCCCGAAGTCAATGCAACCAGCTGAGGATGTAGCTCCTTATCAATGAGCTCCAATATAGATGAACAGGTTGTACTTATTGATTGTTGCAGCCGACTTATGTCAGTCTCCAAATTCTCAACACTTGATCGGATTTTCTCAGTCTTGGTCCAGTCATGGTTTTCATCTTGCCTTTGTAGCAACATCAATTTCCTTTCAAGCTCTAATTTTGCAATTTCTTCCTCCTACAAACATCACTATCCATGAGAATGCAAAGACTTATGCATATGAGAATGTGGAAACAGAAAACCGAGGCAGAGCATACTCATAAGATAGTCATCATCAACGCCACCAATCAGGCATTGAAAAAACTCCAAAACTACCACGAAAACTATATACATATTACATAAAGGAATACGGAGATCCAAAGGTAGTAAAAATTTGCAGAAACCATAATCAAATGCAAATTCTGATTATTGAAGAATTGATGTAATGACCACACTAAGTATCAGTCTTACCTTTACTTCCTTGTAAAGCTTCTGCTCTGCAATATATAGCTTATCAAGGGTAACACAATGAGCTCCAGGCTTGCATGGTTCAATAGATCCACACTCAACAGCATCTCTAGCAAACTGAAGGGACTTAGAAGACCAGCTCCATGACAATGCACTAAAAACCTTAGCAGAATTGCTCCTCTTTCCTGTAGTGCAGACAGTATGGAAATAGTGAGCATTGAGCACTATGCAGCTACCAGATACTGGCTATTTGATGCACAAGTAACTTACTACAAGATCAAATAATAATTACCAAAGCAAATGATTTATAAGAATTCATTGAAAGGCCCGAACTAGGATTCATATTGCAAAGACAGCACAAGAACAATCAGCAAAAATCACACAAAGCACGAATGCAAATCTAGTTCCACCCTGGTTGACACTAAAATGTAAATTAGCAAATAGAAAGTGATAAAAAAGTCAAGCTCTTAAGCCGACTGGCTCTCACATCTTATGGTTCCCAGCTCTCCCTAGATCATTGGGATTGGGGGTTAACATCATTGAGTAAAAGAGAATACATCCTTCCAATGATGAAGGATTGGACCTTAGATATTTAGGACTTTAGGGCCCAATCCACTGGCAATGGGAGCTGTACACTGGCACCAAATGTACCCTAGAAACAGGTTTGAAGCCATCCTCACTTTAAATTTATATAAATCAATAACTTTCTGCAATTAGAACAGAAAGTACAATGATGCATAAATTATAAAAGAGTCAATTCCATCAGATAGAACTTCCTATCCAAGTTGATACCGTAGAAAATCATGCAGCAAATACAAGGAAAGAAATACACACAAGTAGTGAATTGTTGAAAGGTTTGCTTACTTTTGTTTTCATTGAGTTTCCATGGAAGAGAATTGTTCCCTATGTTGATGTCTGTAAAAACAGCAATTTGCTTCCCACCAGCTGATGCTTTCAAAAAATAGTCATCTAACTCCTTTATAATTCTCTCCAACGTCTTCTTGTTCTTCCATACTACCATGGACACATCTGTAGCGTCTTTATTATACCAGCTCATCATTGATGAGTTATCATCAACAATTTCCCCAGGCTGACAACTATCAGGGAGAGGACTTACTGCAGTATTTTCAACAAGCTTCTCTTCCTTATCTTCATCCTCAAACTCCATCTTACTCTCAGCCCAATTTTCTTCCTCAACTGGTTCTACAGATTCACTCTGTTTTGGATGATGAAGAGGTGAATTAGACTCAAAAAAGTCCCAATAATTGTATGATGAGCTTGCAGTAGGAGGTGGTGGGGTAGAACAATCATCCTGATTAATCTCTATGCTTTCTTCTTGGGCAGCTTCTCCTTTAACATTTTCACCGGCCATTCTTGAATCAGGGCTAAAAGAAGGCGGTGGTGGAGGAGAAGGAGGCAATGGGGAAGGTGGAGAGGGAGGTAATGTCAGGCCATAAGAGGTATTTTCAAGTTCCAACGAGTCCGACTCAGTAAACTGCTTAAGAGTTACACCAGTATTCTTCAATGCCCTCAAATAGGCCAACTGCGCATCTGCAAATTCTCCTCTATATTCCACCAATTGTTTCATAAGCCTCTTCCGCTCCTTACATACCTGAACCCTTCCTTCCTTATCGATCCTTGAAGCAACACAGCCCATTTTTTCAATCAGGGATCATAACAGTCTTTGAATTCTCTACTTTAACCTGCAGTAGAATACATTAAACACAAAGCAATCTCAATTTTCTACACCATATTATGTTGAAAAAGGAAAAGTAAGATCCCAGCAAATTTATAAGGTTGATCAGATATTCCCCAAAAGCCGAATTTGCAATTCTCATACATATGCATTCCTTTCCTGGAAATTCAAAGACCTCAAATATAACAGAAACAACGGCAAAACGATCAGTCAATGCCAAGATCTCTACAACTCGCAAATTACTCAGGAAGGAGTGCTTTCCCTGCTAATAATTTAGTTCCACGGGCTAAAATGATACTCATAACCAAAAATTCTAGCTTCTACAGAAACTTCACACCTTACTTTTGACGGTGATCAAAGGCCACATAGAAGAGAAAAGAAAAGAAATGACACTTGAAAACAGGAATAACCAGTTTCTTAATATACTACCATCATCCACCTACCCATAATGTAGCAATAGATTCAAATGGATGCCCCTTTGATTCGATGATTCTAAACAAGGTTTCTCAGCCAAAATGATGATCTTTATAACACAAAGATCAAAACTTTCAAACCCAAAATTTCTCTCACACTAGATGCATTTTCAACGTCTGCTGATTCAGATCCTCATACAAGACAACAAGAATACCACCCCAGATGCACCCAACTTCAAAAATCTCCATAGCTCAAACTAAAGCTGCAATAGAACAATAGAGAAAAATAGTTTAAGACCAAAAAGGGTCTTACTCTTACGAGAGTCTTACAAAATATTTTACTAGTAATATTTAAAAGGAAAAAAAAAAAAAGAAGAAAAGCGACAAGAAAACAATGTAACTGAAATGGAAACTGCCAGAGACAGAGGCTTGCTTGCTCTGTTTTTCTCCTGGAAAATAAAATAAAATAAACAGTAAAAACAAAAGGAACCAATATACCTTATCACTGAAACAAAGGATCTTTTGGTTCTGGGTTTCGTTTGAAAGCGTTAAAACTCAAAAACAGAAGGGAAATGAGAGCAATGCTTTCAAGGTGATAGAACTTGTGGAAAATCCCACCAAAGAAGAAACTTGGAAAGATCTCTTCTTTGCTTAGCTTTTTCAAAGAGGAGGAAAAGAAAGAAGGAGCTCGACACCCGAGGGCAGACCCCATTACCATGAGAGAAGCATCCAAAGCATAGGGAAGCTGAGCTGGCGCATTATAGCAACTCTCAAAGGGTCAAGTCCCGACATTTATTTTTTCTTCCTGCTTTAATTAAAGAAAAAGCCTTTTCCACGCCAGCATGAGTACCTAAGATTACTCCGTTTGAAAAAAGGTCCACGTCACTCGCTGACTGCGCACTATAGCTTGTGTAGGCAGTTGCGCACGTTAGTCTGAGACGGCTGTATATTTTAGAATTAGACCATAAGATAAGGCATACGCCCTTTTTTATTCACATTTAAATAAAAAGTATCATTTAAACATTTTGTGAACTTTCTTTTTCTTTTTTTTGATCAAAATGAAATTGGTGAAATATTTGTTAATTTTGAATTATCCGAAATCGAATTTGATTAGCATTTAATTATTCATATTTTACTTGAATTCAATTAAAAATCAATATCTAATACTTAAACTTTATTATTAATATTTGATAAAACAACTCGAACTCTAATAATAAAAATAAATTTAAAATTAACTTTTTTATATATCATTAATAAAAATAACAATAATAAAATAAAATTTAGAATTATATTCTAAAAAATTAATAAATTCTAATAAGTATTAAATTAATCATAAATCATAACTAATTTATAAATAAAAAAGTAATATATAAAATTAAAAGTCATTTATAATTAAATTTCAGTAATAAGAACCCTATCACTATTCAAATTTTATAAGAACCCTAATAATAAATTTTTTATCTGAATCTTATCTAAACTCAATTATAAAATATTTTAATAGTATTTAATCAATCCAATAATGAAATTATACTAAATCCGAGCAGCCAAAAATCGAATAAGGATCAAAAGTTGTTTGAATGTAGGCAGCATAGTCGTTTGACTATTTATTGCTATCATTTATTTCTGCTTTTGCTTTTTCTTTTAGCATATGCCATGTCAGAAAAAGGCGGACAAAAAAGGGGTGCGCAGTTTAGCTGAGGGTGGTTGGTTAAGTTAAAGTGGTCATTCTATATGTAAAACAGGACAAAAGGAAATCCAAGTTCTAAGCCCAACCAGCTTTAAGCATTTAAAAGGAAGCAAATCTTTTGGTAAAAAACCCTTTTTGGGTGACTAATGATAATGATTTGTCTCCTTAGGTTTAGTTCCTTTCGGCTGTTGCCTTTTCTCATGTTTCCCACTTGGCCTCTTCTTTCATTCCGCCCTTTTCTTTTCCTTTTTTTTTTAATATTTAAATGGATACAATGACATAAAAAACTAAATCTTTATAAAAAGGAAACTACTAATATTTAAGATGGAAAGAGTATTATTTTATTTGTATATATATCAAAATCTTCATTTTAAAACTAAACTAAAATTAAGAATTCTTTTAAAAGAATAATATAGAAGAAACAGAAATGAATAAAAGATAGATAATATCAAACATCTCGATCCTGTGTCTCACTCATTATGGTTTTTCACTTACAAAGGATAAAGACTCATTTTAGTCCGAATTTACTTCGATATTGGTATCTATATTAGTGAAGAGTTAATTAAATTTTAATATTATTTGTTATAAATTAATATTTTTAATTCAAAATATATATTTATTAGGTGAAATAAGGTTTTTGTTTATAAAGTTATTTTATTTTTTATTAATTTAAGATATGTGATGTTAATACTTCTGAAAAAAATAATATTTCTCTTTATTACACGTGTATTAGGCTCCAAATGTTTGTTTATCCAAATAATGAGTTGGGAGATAGAATTTTAATTTGGGCTGGGCTTGGTTTTCAATTATTGGGTCTAGGACTTAAACTTGGGCCGAAATTGGCCACGAGGCCATCTCAAGTGTTGAGACTCAAATGAGCTAAGAGCATTACCACATGCTTTAGCATTTGAAATGATCATTTCAATTTAGAACTACTCTCGATCAATAATCATTTCAGTATTTAATTTATTTATTTTTACTAAACAATAATTATTTCTCAAAATATTTATTTCGTAAAATTTTTGAATAATTAATGCCGACTCCCTTCCGATAGTAGTAACATTATATTTACTAACAAAAACTTTGGTTACCATACAAAGTAAATAAACAACTGTTGCTTACATGCACTTTCCACGAATCCCCCTTTTTTGGCATGGATTTAGCTAAGATATAGCATTCATACTCTTTCCCTTTGCCAAGCAACACTTTCTTTCCTATTTTCCCTCACATGACTTCTTGGTTCATGCTTTGTCATTTTTCATTAAAAGATATTATTTATTGTTAATTCTTATCCTAGCAAATTAATTTAAAATATATTTAACATACAAGATAATAAAATTAAAAGCTTTTCACCACACTAACATTGAGTAACAATGGAGATTTCAATGCAATGAAAGGACAATTGAGAGTTTTCGGCACAATAAAACTTAATGATGATCCAAATTTTACTGCGATGAAAAGTTTTTTAATTGTTTAATCTAATAGAGAAATGAAACTTTAGAGTTAAAATGAATGTATGTTTTGAAACATTATTATTGTTATTATTAAAAATTAATATCTTTATTATTATTATTTTGTTTATTAAGAAAAGCAAAAGCAAATTAAAAAAAGAAAAAGAAAAGCAACTCTTTTGAATGTGTATTTGAAAGATAAAAACCTCACTTGCCCATGAAGGATGCCTCCGTCACACTCACACAGTCTTTCACCTGAATCAAATTCATTGCAATTTACAACTAAAAAAGTGTCCTGCATAATCAGCATGTCCCCACTCATGATTCTTTGACGGACTGGTGGTCAACATGAGCGTCTCATAAAAATAAAATCACATTTTTTTTAGAATAATGCTATAAGCATTAAAAAAATCTTATAGTACAACATACTTATATTGTATAAAAGGCCTTCTAAATTAAAAAAAAAACTCATAATTATGTCTATATACATCCATTTTAATTTCTATTTTTTATTGTACTAGGTTTTTATATTTTAATTTTTGTTCAATTTTAATAAAAATTTAATAATTATTAAATTTAATGTCAATCGATATATTTATTCACGTAAAAATATGAAAGTTAATGTGATCATATAAACAAAAAATATTCATTGATATTATATTTGACCACAATTAATTATCTATTAAAATTAAGAATGTATACGAATATAAATTAAAATATAAGAATTTTTAAATACAATAAAAATATAAAAAAATTCACATAAATATAAATGATTCAAAGGTTTTTTTTTTAAAACTATTTACACCTTTTAATCATGTCTTACATGCCACTACGAATATCAAAATGGCAACCTAACTTGAAGAAATAAAAACGGATACAATCGGACACATCAACATCGTAGAATCCATGATTTGAATCATTAATTTTTCTAATTTTTTTTATTAGAGGTGGCTACATAAAGTGCTATTTACTTTGACCTATACCGAATTTGGAAAATCCATTATTTTTTTGGAAGATAAATGTATTCAAAGTTGAACATTCCTTTTTTCAATTAAAAAATTTTATAAGAATATAAATAAATTAGCCATAACATCTCTTAATAAACAAGCAATTACAGTTACGTAAATTTTTTTTCCCCTTCAAAGTTACCATGATATTTTTTACTAGTAGCAAAAAAATTGCAAATTTATATATGAATAACTTAACTCTGATTTCACCTAATTAAGATGGTAAAAAAAATATAATTCTCAAAAATTTTATTGTAAGCATTAACATGTGATGGATAAATTTAAAAAATATATATTATAATTATTTATTTTTATTACATTTAAATAAATTTTTTAAGTTTTTTATTAATATTCAAAAAACACGAAGAATTGAAGATTCAACGTGGCTTTAAAAGTCTAATTTAAGTCGTTTTATTTATTTTTTTATATTAATACTATCATTAAGAGAAGTTTCCTCTTGTATTTATCAAAGAAAGTAAAAAAAAAAAAAAAAAAAAAGAAAGAAAAAATGTCGCCATTACCGTAATCCGGTTTATATAAATAAAATCCAGTTTTAATCTGAGGTCTCTCTGGCTGGCTTCCCTTCCCTCTCTATCTTTTGCAAATTGGGCATTTCATTTCATTTTTGGATCTGAATAAGAAGAATTTAGATCTAAAATTTACTTGGAGGATTGAATCCGAAAATGAACAATGGAGATTTAGAAGGCGGCGGGGACGAAGGCTTCCATGGAAAAGGCGGCCGCAACTACAGGCCCGTCGTGGTGCACGATCGCGCCGTTCTCGAGATGTCCTCCATGGATCCTGGATCTTCTTCCTCCGGTTCCCAATCTTCTATCAGGTAATCCTCCGCTTTGTCTTTCTCTTTTGCTGAGAGTTTTTTCTTTTTCTCATATTGGATAGTAATATATACTGGCAGGAAAATAAAGGTGGTAACGCAGGGAAATTCGGATTCCGATGGAAGGGAAGGTTCGATTCCTGAGAATGGTGGAGCCAATGGTCCTCACAGGGAACATAAATTGGAATTGTTTGGTTTTGATTCTCTCGTCAATATTCTTGGTCTCAAAAGGTATGTGGTTCATTTTCCATTAATGCTTTCACTTGCATTTTGTGCGCAATGATCAAAAGATGTCAGTATTTCCTTTCATGAAGCATATAGCTGTGCTTCTTCATGTTAGTACTTGCTAATTAATGTTTCTTGGTAATTAAATAATGAATAGTTTGGGTTGGCTGGACAATTTTCCTTTACGTAAGTTTTTTTTTTAACTTATGATCAGTAGCTGCTTTTGACTTGTTTTCCAGTATGACAGGAGAGCAAATCCCGGCACCTTCTAGCCCAAGAGATGGTGAGGAGGTTTCGATCACCAATGGGCATCCGAAGGTAAGCTATTCTTTCACTTTGCCTTGATTGATTATACTACTTCCATTTTTCATTACTGGCATTGTGTTTCATCATCAACATCAATGTTGTTATGCTTGAGCAAAAGCAAATAAGCTATGATACGAGGATTAAATTAATAAATTGTTGAAGAATATGGGAGATATTGGGGTATTTACCTTGTTATTAGTTTTTGAATTTTTCTGATATGTAATATGACGAAAGAATGAAAAGATACTCTTG